CTCGAGGTCGACTAGCGCGAGTTCGGAAGGGCGTGTTCGGATTACCTACGGCGCCGAGGCTGCGGCACCTGAAGGTGGTCTCAGCAGCCCGCAAGCTGGGACTGGAGCCCTCTCGCTCGGACCCTGCATTCCTGGTGCTCCACGACGCGAAGGCGAAGAAGCGCGGGCCAAACACGATGCGTGGCTGTATCTGCGTTCACGTGGACGACTTCCTCTGGACGGGGAACGAGAAGATGGCGAAGGTGATGGACGCGCTGGGCAAGGAGTTCGGCTTCGGCAGCGAGGAGTACGACAACTTCGTGTTCTGCGGCAGGCGGTTTCAGCGACAGCCTGGAGGAGCCATTACGATCGACATGATGGAATATGCAGCTGGCCTGGAGCCTGTGACTGTGCCCAGGGCACGGCGCACGGCGGCACACCAGCCCATGCACGCGATGGAGTGGAAGCAGTAGCAGCAGGTGGTCGGCAAGATCAACTGGTTGGTGACCAAGCTGCGTGTGGACTACTCGTACGACCTGGCAGTGCTGCAGCGCGAGAAGGGACGCAAGAAGGGCCCGAGGATCTCGGCGCTGATCAAGGCGAACCAGTTGCTGAGGGATTTGAAGCGCAGCTCGACGCTCAAGATCACGATGCGACCGATCGACCTCCAGAGGTTCGACAGCTCGCTAGGCAACGTGATGATGGACGGGACGGCGTTGCAGTCGGACCCGGCGACCGAGACGATAGGCACACAGGCCGGATTCCTCATCCTGTTCGCGGACCGCCCACTCGTGGACGGCGGCGTGGGCTGGTTCTCGTTGCTGGAGGGCAAGAGCCACAAATTGAAGCGCGCGGCGAGGAGCTCCTACGCTGCGGAGGTGATTTCCGTGGGTGACGCCGTGGACATCGCCCAAGGCATACGCGACCAGATCACAGAGATGCTGCACGGCCCTGTGGCAAGGGGCGCAGGTATGAAGCTCTCGGGCTGGCAGGTGCCAATTACGGTAGTGACGGATAGCAAGGATGGACATGATAGGCTCAACTCGGACGTTGGCGTGGGGAGCTCGGCCCAAAAGTCGGTGAACTTGGAGTTGGCGAGCATCAGAGAGAGTTAAGATAGGCCACAGACGATGGTACGCTGGACAGATGGGAGTAACATGTTGAGCGACGTGCTGACGAAGGATATGCCGGCGGACCATCTCAGAGAGACGCTGGAGCGCGGCACGTGGAGTATTGAGCTTCGTGAGGAAATGGTGAAGACGGCCTGGCGTGTGGCTCGAGAGCGCTGGGAATCCCGAGTGAAGGAGTTGGCCAAGGATGGCAGGTTCACACCCGGAGTCCTTGAGCCATAATGAGTGATACTGGACCTCTCTTTCTTTCTCTAATTGTCTACGCCGGTGCTGTGCCGAGGCTGCTGCGAGCTTGAACGCTCGAGCGTAGTGCTATACTAATTATCTTACCCCTCTCTCCCCATCCTCGGAGTGCGATGATTCCCAAGGTAAGGATAGCGTTGCTGAGAATGTTATAGCGACAGTGTTAGCTGCGAGCAGAGTTTATTGAGAAGAAGTTGTGTCTTACGTTTCATTTTCGCGGGTCGCTCCAGCCCTACATGTGCGAGTTTTGACTTGGAATTCTGAGTGACTGGTTTTGGACGGATTGCCTATCAGAGGTCGGCTGTCGAAGGGTTTTGGACGGCTTGCCTATCAGAGGTCGGCTGTCAAGGGTTTTTGGACGGCTTGCCTATCAGAGGTCGGCTGTCGAGGCGGGCGCATATCCATAAAGATAAAGAATACGTGTGGAAAAACATGCCCCTCGGATTGGATATGCCCCCTTCTCTGCACTTAACCCCCTTATGTACTCTTTTTCCCCTCCCTCTCTCTCTACTCTCGCTCTCACCGCTGCCGGCTCGGTTCGAGCCGGCTTGAGGCAAACTGGTTCCTGGTAGCAGGACTGGAAAAGGGGGCTCGCTCTCTCCTCGAGCCCTGCGGGCTCCGCCGCCGACCCCCGCTGCGGGATCGGGAGGTCAAGAGGGGGCCCAACCCGGTTCCGCATCCTGATCCTCTG